CTCCCAGCGCGTAGCGCAGTGCCTGCCCGTAGTGGGGGCTCACTGTTGAGTGAAGGACTGTCTCATGCTCGAAGCATTTCCCTATCTTAGCACCGTCCCTTCTGCCCTGTCCGCTCCGACGCGAGGGACCTGTCCGTTGGCTCCCATCGCATTGGGCAGTAGTGAACCAAGAGCCAGTCTTGATCTGAACACCCAGGGGGTGAAAGAACTCGCCCAAAGTGTCATTGAAATAGCGGTTCTTAAGGATCTGGAACAGCGGCAGAACTGAGCCCGGAACTGCAGAACCAAGCCCTCCGGTCGACTTTCCGTGAGGACCTTACAAACAGGAAGTGGGGTGGCTCTGCTTAAACTAAAGCGGTGCAGGTCCAGCTTCCAGCGGTAGTGCTGGGTGTCTGGCTGCGGGCTCACCTGGACGCCGGGCCATGCAGGAGTCTCCAGGCTGGGATGCCCCCTCACAGCTCCTGTCAGCTGAGATGGGGTTAAGCCCTCGCCTTTTCCCTTTGGTCCCCTCAGCCTCTGAGTCGGGTAGGTGCTGTTTGGGTCGCTTCTCCCAGTGCCGGTGCCGGCGCCAGCATGCAGAGCTGTGCTTGGCTCGCTGAACCAAGCTGGGCACAGTTGAGGTGCATGGGCTCCACTGGTAACTGGTGGTCTCCCTGCCCCACAGACCACTTCCACATGCAGTCGGAGTCTTTGGTCGGTCCCCTGATGCAGAGCATCTCCCACCAGCACTGGAAGGTGCGAGTGGCCATCATCGAGGCCACAGGCACGGTCGTCCAGTTTGGCAGCGGGAAGTCAGTGGATGATGTGCTTCCTCACTTTGCTCAGCGGCTCTTTGACAACGTCCCCCAGGTAGCGGGCAGGGCATTCTCCACCGGAAGCACGCCACTGAGCTGTTTGTGACTCACTCACTTTTGTTTTAAAGATACTACCCATGCACCAGTGGCCTTTCCTCCCTCCCAGGCGCAGAGCAGTCCTGTTTCACGTCTTTGAGAAATGAGGGGAGGGCTGAGTCATCTCAATACCTTCTTGTTTCTAATCCCAAGGAAAGTGAAAGAGGACTGTTTCCTCTTAGGAAGAAAATCCAAACTGGGTGCAGCGCATCTGCAACATGCCGCTCCAACAAGGCGGTCCAGCTGAAAAGCCTCAGAGGTTGGCCAGCCAGGCCTGGGAGGAGGACCCAGCCGGGGTGGGCGTGTTGGGGTAGTTTGTTCCCTCCGGCTTTGGGGCCCCGGTCTGGTGACCTCCGAAACTGCTCTCTAGCACTGCCCTGCCTCCGACCACAGGCACGCTGGGCCTTCTTATTTTTATTTTTTAGAACAGCTTTTTGAGCTATAATTCACATACTGTACATTTCTCCTGTGTAGTTTTGAATGTTTTGGGTATATTTTTAATTTCTAAAACTTTTGGCAAAACATGTGTAACACTTGCCATTTTAGTTATTTTTAAAGTTAGGTGGTATTAAATATATTCACAATGTTGTACAACCATCACCACCATGCAAAGCTTTTTTTTAATCGTCCCAAACAGAAGCTTGGTAACCACTAAGTGATACCTCCCCACCCTCCCCTCCCTGCAGCCACTGATAACTACAGATCTTTGTCTCTGGATTTGACGAGGTTCACGGAAGTGGAGTCAACGTGTGGTCTGCCGTGACTGCCTCTCACTCAGCCTCGTGTTTCCGAGGTCCATCTGTCTGTGTCAGGAGTCCGTGCTTTGCTCCTTTTTAAGGCTGAGTAATATCCACAGTGTGGACGGACCAGACTTTGTCCACAGACAGGCTGGTGCCCTCAGTAGTCCTGGGGTCACCCTGGCTGTCAGGGCCCCCTCTGCACGTTGCTGTGGCTCTAACTGTGTTTCATGTAGATGATGGGGTTCTGTGATTTATGTAGCTGGGAGAATACACTGACCCAGTCAGTGAAGCTTCAAGAATGTGACCACATAGGCGTTGGCAGGGGTCTGCCCTGGAATGTTGGAGCTTAGCCAGCACACCTGCTCCGCTGTTGGTGCCCTGCTGGGCATTTGGCTCAGGCTAGCAGAAGGTCCAGCTGAGCCCGGAGGATGTGGGCTGGAGACAGCCAGACCCTAATGTTTCATCCCCAGGCTGAGATGTGGTCATGGAGCTGGGGGCATGCCTGAGCCGGCTGTGGGGCCCCGCCGGTGATGGGGCGGGCTGCCCCTGCCCGGCGTGAAGGCTGTTCCCTTGCTGTACACGCAGGTGCGGCAGGCGGTGACCCGCGTGGTGGGGGATTGGCTGCTGCGCCTCCGGGACCGCTATTCCTTCTTCCACAAGCTCATCCCGCTGCTGCTGAGCAGCCTTGACGACGAGATACCTGAAATCGCGTAAGTGGGGAGGCCGCCCGCGGTGCTGCACTTCCTGGCACCCACACCCTGTGTCAGGTGCTGGGCCCGCCGTGGCGTGCCTTCTGGTTCACCGGGTGTCCTGCCAGGGGATTCCCTGACTTGCCACCCCCAGCAGCTCCGTCTCTTAGGGAAGCCCCGCCCCCGCCCCTCTTCCCACGTGCTGGGAGGTCCGGTGACAGCGCTTTGCTTGGGCTCCCACAGAGCAGTCGGCCCCTTCCAGAACTGCTAGTGAGCGGCGGGCAGTGCAGAGGCCCGGCTGGCGGGCTGTCTCCGGGAGGGACTCAGCAGCCGCTCCGGGCTCCACCCGCCTCCATGGGAGCCTCCTGATGGAGTCTGTGTTGCGCTGCAGGCGTGAGGCGGCCAACCTCTGGGAGAAGGTGGGCCTGCAGTGGCAGACAGAGAACGAGGAGGACCTCAAAGACAAGCTGGACTTTGCTGGCCCACCCCCCGCCCACCACCCCTCGCCAGGTGAGTCCAGCGTCAGGACATTGGTGGGGGGGTTGGAGCCCGCGCTGTGGAAAGGGTGCCCTCAGCATCGTGGGCGGGGCCGGGCTCCTGTCCTCAGCCCCTAGCGGTGCTCCGGCCTCCTCCTCTCCCCCTGGGGCCAGCTCTGCTGGGAAGAGGCTGCAGGCCTCCCTGGGTGCGTGACTCGCTCAGCTGCGGACACTGGGCTGCTGGTCATGGCAGTGGAAATTTTGGAAATGGGCGGTGCCTTGTCATTTCACAAAAAATTTTATCTGTAAGCTTAACCCAAAGGAACAAACAGGTACAGGAGAGGCTCTTGTGCATAACCTCCCGGCCTCCCCCCTCATGGTTCCCTGCCAGACCGCCAGCACGTGTGTGTGCATATGTGCGCGTATGCCCATGGGCACACCTGTTTCCCCCAGCTCCTGAGTCCTCTCCCAGGTGCAGATTCAGGGATGCCCACCTGGGCCGCAGCCCCTCACACCTGTGGTCTCTTGTGTTCTGGAAACACAATCTGTCGTGGGAGTGAAGTGTGTTCAAGCTGCACTCGGCCAGGTGCCTTTATTGCTGCGGTCTGTCCACGGGTATCTTGTCACAGTGAGGTGGTGAGGAGGTGCCTGCTGGTGAGGACAGATGTGGAAAAGGTGCCCCTGGCCCCTCAGCCCTGGCCAGGGTGAAGTCAGGCTCAGATGGTGGCCCTGGAGGGGGTGCCGGGTGAAGGTCAGCTTGAGACAGGCACGCACACCTCGTCTGCACCTGGAGCCGTTTAGTTCGGGGCCAGCAGGGACCTCCTCCCCTCGTCACCTGTGAGGCCAGTGTCTTTTTTTTTCCCTTTGTTTTGTGACCTTATCTCCTCTGGTAGTGTCTTCTCCCATGGCAGACAGTAAAGGGGAAAAAGTAGAGAAAGTAATTGTTAGTAGGGTTTTTTCTGATTTAGTAAAGGTTGAGCATGCAGCATCTTTCCAAGAACGTAGAACTTAGAGAAGATACTTGTTTATGACTCTTTTGTTAAGTACACTCTCGTTGCCTGTGGGGGACGGAGGCCTCTGAAGGGTGATTGTCACGTCGTGAGAGTGTTGTCCCTCCTCTGCTGCTCAGGGCTCACTTCTGCACTGGGGAGACGAGAAGCTGGCCTGGGGCTTCTGTGGGCCGTGTTGACGTGACAGATCTCGGCCGGGATCCGATTGGCGATTAGGAGACAGTAGTTCTCTTTGGATGTGGCCCAGGGTGTATCCCTAACTAGTCCTGTTCTCCGCCCTCACCTGTCCCTTCACCCTAGGGGTCCCTGGGAAACCCCTCGGATGCTGATCGTGCACAGAGGACCATCCTTGTGCTGCATGGGGGCCTGTCCTGGCCAGTGTTAGGCAGACGTCGGGTCATCCTGAGCAGGTCACCCTGCAGAGAGCGAGAAGGGCCTGGGAGACGGGCACTGAGGGACACAGACCTTGCGCGTGGCAGCAGGGAGGGCAGAGTGAGGGCCCGCTGTGCACTGAGGACCATGCGGGTGGGTGCATGATCAAGGCTTGGAGAAGGTGGTGGCCTGCGGAGCTTCGCCTCAAGTAGAGCAGGATAAACGTGGAACTGAATTGCCGTCGGAGCTACTGGTATAAGCACTGCCTTTCGTTACATTTTTGGCGTGTGTCTTTGAAATTACTTCTTTAAAATTTGAATTTTATAAGCTTTCAGATACTCTTTTCCACACCACTTCACGTGCCAGATCCTGCCAGTCTCGCCCCAACCCTCGCTGTTGCCGGCATATTGCTGGCCCCTCCCTGGGGCATCCTGGCCCATTGCTGGCCCCCCCTGGGGCATCCCGGCTCCATTGCTGGCCCCCCCGGGGCGTCCGGCCCCTCCTGTCCTGGCCCAGGCCCACTGCTGCCCCCCCCCAGGACGCCCTCAGCGCTCAGACGGGCTGCTGCTTGTATTGTGACAGGACTCACACCAATAGGCTCCCCCTCAGAGGCAGAGCCGTGTGAGTTCCGACGGGCTCCTCGTCCTGTGCTGTGACCGCTGCTTCAGCTGCCGTCCGCAGACCCCACCAGGCGCCCGCGTCCTCTGTGCCGGTCCACGTCCCTTGTTACGTGTCTGCTCACATCTCTGCTCCACGTTTTAGACTGGCTGGCTGTCCTCTTATCGGGGAGTGTCGAGAATCCATTGTACATCCAGGTGCAATGTGTTGTCAGATCTGTGTCCCCTGGCTTCTCTGGCCAGGCCGCCCTTGACGTCTCCACCTTGTGCCCGCCTGGTGGCCCTGGCAGGTGTTGGCCTCCCCCCACCACTTGTCCTGGGGCCTCAACTCCTGCTCTCCCCCGAGAGCCCCCCACAGCACCCTCCTCCCTCTGGGTCCTGGCCTCCAGCTCACCTGGCGCTGTTTCCGCATTGAACGTTTGCTCACATCGCCTTCTGCTCTGAGAAGGCAGACTTGTCTACAGACACAGCCCTGCACCTGAGACAGGTGCGCTGGTACAGGGTCGGCCCAGTGAATTGCAGGTGAGCAGACAGTGGTGGGTGTGTCCTCTCTTACCTGCGAGGTTGGACGGTCAGCTCGTGTGGCTGAACCTGAGCTATGAACCAATGAGGTTTGAGAAGGTGCACAGTTCACCCCACCAGATCTGCCGGAGTGCAGTGCCTCTGAGTAAGGACGGTGGGTGAGTCACCTGGACCAGAGTCCAGTCGGAGCCTGGCCTTCTTTCCCACGTGTGGCCAGAAACACGGCCCGCTCACTGGAGTCTGTCCTCAGCCCTACAACATGGCACAAGTTTCCTGGAACAGCCCTGGAACCAGCTCTGCTTCTGAATCCAGGCTGCGTGTAGGGGGCTGGGAGGGACCGTTCTCAAGCCAGTGACACACTTGAACCCAGCACTCTTCTCATGTGGAAACACGGTCACGCGGGACATGGCCTCCCAGCAGTGCCTGCACCCCCTACCCACGATGCAGGGTCTCCATCTCCTCTGGACGAGGTACCTCTGGTCCCCTGTCTGCTTTTGTAAACAGCCAGAACTGTGCTGGACCCCCGGGCTGTAGCCCCACTTTGCGAGTACACGGTACCGGGCAGACCTGCCGCGGGCTGCTTTCTGCCTACGGTTAAACCACCGTAGTCCAGTTGTGCAGCAGCTGCTGCTCCGCGTGCTCCCAACCCGCTGTGTCCATGCCTTTGCTCACTGGTGCCCACGCAGGTGTGCAGGCCGGGTGGAGAGACAACCTCAGGATTCAAACAGGGTTATTGGGAGCAGCAGAGCTGAGGTGGGAAACACAGGTGATGGTGTCACGGGTTGGTGAGGGGCTATCGCAGGAACAGGGCAAAGGGCGGTAGACCTGCCCCTGGTCCCTGCAAGTACTGGTCGGTGCCTGAGCCATGAGGCCACCTTCTCGTGGCCTCTCACAGCTGAGCCGCAGGGACCGGGAGACCAGCTGCCCCGAGCTCAGTGAGCTCCACGTGTGGCAGGCGGACACCCAGTGACAGGAGCACGTCACCACCATCACCCTGCGGGCCTGCACACCAGCGGGGCCGGGGTCAGGACCGTCGCTATGCCACGTGTCCAGCTGCTCTGAGCTGTGCCACTCTGTCCTAGTTCTTTTAAGTGTTCTGGTCCTTCTCCCTGGAGAGGATGACTTCTGCTCTGAACGTCTAGTCCAGAGCAGAGGGCAGGACCCGGGGGCTCCCACAACTGAGGAAGCCCAGAGGGCCCCTCCTGCCGTTTGTCTTGATGACTGCGGCTCGGAGTCTGCACTGGGGAGAAAGGGCCTTGTTCTCCCTGAGGCCTTCCTACGCCAGCCTTCCTCCCAGAGTCCCTTGCTCCTGGGCTCTGAGCAGGGTCTCTACTTGGACCCTCAGGCCTGAGAGGCCCTGGCGCCTCGGAGCCGCCCCTCCCGGCCTGAAACGTGTCAGCGGGATTGAGGAACTGAATGTCTCATTCCTGGGTCTAGCTGCCACATGGGAAAGTGGACCTTCTGGGAAAGGCCAGACAGTAAATAGTCAGGGCTTTGCAGGCCCCAGCGGCCCAGCCCCAGACAACGGTCATGAGCGAGGTCTGCTTTACAGAAACACAGCGGGCCCGACATGGCTTCTTAGCCAGCATGCGGCCCCTGGGCAAGAAGAGCGCCACTCGTCTGCTCAGTCAAGTTCAGAAAGTGGCTTCAGAACCCCTTCCACAGTGAGGCCAGCATTTCTTTGAGAATACCTCCCAGGCTGTGTGTCCACCTGTGAGCAGACCCTCCCCAGATGTCTTTGTTAACGTGTCCCTCACCTCGGAGACTTTCCGCAGCAGATGTGTCAGGAAGAAAATAGTATTTATTATTTGGGGGTTTATATTTTTACAAAATTACAGCAAGCTCACTTAAATAGGCAACAAAACTTGAATCTTTTGGAACTTACTCTCTCATATACCATAAAAGTAGAAAAGTAACAGGAAGAGAGATTCAGAATGGGGTCTCTAAGCCACCCTTTAAACTCTGGTACGTCATGGTTTCACTTCAATGTCTAGAGTTCTTTTGAATTTTTAAGGTCAAAGTCTTATCATCAAAATCCTCTAAGGCTTTTCTGCAGAAATTGAGAAACTTAACCTGAAATTCACAAGGAAATGCAAAGGACCCGGAGCCGCCCAGACTCCAGAAAAGAACAGCAGGGCTGAAGGACGAGCACTTCCTGGTCTCAAGACACAAAACCGCGGTAACCAGGACGGTGTGGAGTCTGCATGAGGACAGACGGACAGGCCAGTGGGGCAGAGTGGGGTCCAGAAACACGCACACGTGTGGACACTGAGTTTTGACAGGTGCAAAGGCAGTGCAGGGGAGGACGTCTCAGCGGCGGTGCTAGCATCTCTGGACATGCAGGCGGGGCTTGGATCCAACCTCCTCTGACGCACGAAAAGTAACCCCAGATGCTCGTGGACCTGGGTTAAACACTCCACGAGAGACGGCTGATAACAGTGGTTTCGAACAGAATGAAAACTGCTGCTGCTGGAGAGGCGTTCAGAGGATGACACGACCAGCCACAGACGGAGATGTTGGCACGTTACATGTGTGAAGACCTGTATCCAGACGCGGACTCTCAGGATCCCGTGACACAAAAACATGGTTTTTTCAGTTCAGGGCAGGAAAGGTTTGAAAAGACACCTCACTGAGGACACACAGGTGTCAGATAAGCACGTGAGAACATGCTCCAGCCCAAGGAGGTGCCACCACGCCCCCTAGAGGTTTCCGTTTGAGACTGCGCCCAGAGACCTGGTAGCGTAGCTGGCGTAGGTGAGGAACCGTGCAGCCACCTTGGGAAATGCACCGCAGTTTCTTAAATAGTTGGTTACACGCCTGCCGTGTGGTCGGCCGTGGCGTTCCTCAGCGCTCGCCCCGGAGAGGCGAGGGCAGCGTGCACACAGCCTTGTCCCTGACAGCCCACACCGGACCCAACTCGGGTGTCTGCCGGCAGGCGGACAGCCAAGCAGACTAGGCTGTCCACGCGGTGGACTACCGCTCAGCAGTGAAGAGGAATCAGTGCCCCAGCCCACTGGTCTCAGACGCTGCAGGAGAAGCTGGACAGAAGCGAGCGTGTTCTGTGCAGCCCTTGCACAGAAAGTCTAGAAGAGGCGGCTCATCTGTAGTGACGGGAAGCAGACGGGGGCCGCCTGGGGCTGGGGGGCTTTGCACGGAGCACAGGAAACCCGTGATGGATGCATGTTACCTTGATTGCGGAGATGGCCTGCAGGTGCACCCACGTCAGAACTTAGCAAACTGCACTTCAAGCGTGTAGTTACCGTGTGTCACTCACTCCAGGATTTTGCTGTAGGAAAATTTAAAGTCAGTTGTGACACTTTAAGGCTTCGTTTCTGCCTGAAGAGTTGTTTTGAAGTTTTAAGACCTGAAAGTAAAGCACATTCGTGTGCCTGAATGAGGAACGTGTTCTTTCCATAGACTCGCTGAGACTTTGTCTCGGTTTCAAGGTTTACTCTCCACCTTTGATCCGCAGGGAGCCGCCCGGGGCTGGGCTGCCGCGAGCTCGTCTTCAGAAACCTCTCCAAGATCCTTCCTGCCGTCTGTCACGACATCGGCGACTGGGTGGCGGGGACCCGGGTGAAGTCCGCGCAGCTGCTGGTGGTGCTGCTGCTCCACGCGGAGGACCACGTCACGCAGCACCTGGAGCCCGTCCTGCGCACCCTGCAGCACGCCTGCGCCGACGAGGAGCGGGCTGTGGTCAGCAGCGTGAGTGGCCGTCCCTGTAACGTAGGGGCTAGAGTCCCCTCTCAGGCCTGAGTCTGAACCTGGACAAACGTGAGCAGACGTGGGGTCGCCCCACGATAAGGTGCAGATGTTCTCGGGCCCCCGGGCTCTCCCTGGGCTCCTGCTTCGCTCGGACGGTGCCCGTGAGGAATGGCTCTTGGAGGTTACTGACTCCACTGCCATCACGGCCTCTCCAAGCCTGAGAGGGCGATCAGCTCTGCATGTGTTCTTGTGGGGCCGAGTGCATCCCAGCATAAACGGGCCCTCCACCCTGCGAGCCCTTTAGCGACAGCTTCCGAGACCCACATGTGGCCAGGCATGCAGGGCTGCCCATGGGAGTCCAGGCCAGCGGCCGGGCCCCCCCCCCAACCTGGCTCCGAGGCTTTCCCTGGCCCCTAGATGCTCGGACACAGCTGTCCCACAGGCCGGGTGGCCTGAGCATCTTCTCGGTGAAGTTCTGACGGTCGTGAGGGACACACCTGTTTTTCACCAGCACCACGAGCGCCCACCTAGAGGAGACTTTGCGCAGGGCTGTTTCTGGTGGGTGAAGCCCCATGAGGCAGACAGGCGGTGCCGAGAGCTCAGGGGCCGTGGCGGGGCACTGGCGGCCCTCAGTCTCCTGCCCTCTCCCACAGTGCACGAGGTCTGCGCAGCTGATCGGCACCTTCGTCAGCCCAGAGGTGTTTCTGAAGCTGATCTTGCCGACACTGAGAAAGTCGCCCTCCCCCTCCGGCCTCCTGGTCCTCGCTTCGGTCATCCAAGGCTGCCCGAGGGAGGCCCTCCGGCCTCATGTGAAGATCATCGCTGCGGAGCTGGCCCAGGCTCACATCTGCCAAGGGTCTGAAAACGTAAGGAGTGTGGGAGGGGGTGGGTGGAGGGTTAACCTGCCGACGTGGTGACGAGGTCTCTGCCAGGTGCCATGTGCACGTGACCATCAGTGGTGGTCCCCACGGGCCTGCCAGGGACACGGACCGGCACGGTGGCCCGGGCTGCCCAGGATGGTCTCCTGTCTGGGGGCCTGCGTGCCTCCTGCCTGGTTCTGCTCTGTCAGACGTGCTGGCTGCTTGCACTGGGATCAAACAAGGTGCAAGTGCTGTCCTCGGCCGTGTCGCAAGCACCCGGGGACCACGTGCAGCCAGAGCACGGCCATGGGGTGGGCAGCACGCTCTGCTGGACGGCGCTGCTCTGGGTGGTCTCGGGCCCAGAGAGGGCGGCACGATCGGCAGCTCTGAGGGGCCCCTCCCGCTGCCTTGAGTGCAGCTGCAGGCCTGTCACCCGTCTGTCCGTCCAGTGAACGCGGTGCAGGTACACCTCTCCCGCCATCCCCGCGACACCCGTGAATGTGATAGCTCCACAAACGTGCACTTAGAAGTTAGCCAAAGTCAGTCCTCAAAAGGTCCGCCAGTCCAGGCCTGAAAGAACTGAGCTGCGGGGAGGAAGGGTTTGAACAAAACACCAGTCGCGGCCTCTCAGGAGTCAGGACACCCAGAGTCACCCCCGGGGCCCAGGGTGTGATCCACGGTGAGTTTTTTGTTTAAACTTCGGAGATTTGTACCACTTGTGAGTGAGCCGTGGAATCTGAGCGAAGATTCAGAATTTAGAACAGTCCATCATCTTGACAAACAGTCACCATCCTTCAGGGCTCAGGTCTCCTTGGTGAAAAAGCTGAAGTGCTTTCCTCCAGTTACTTACGTGCTCACTTATCCGTAAATCACTGTGAATCACAAACATGACCTGCCCAGCCGATTCTGTTTGTGAAAAATGGTACAGCAGCGGGTTAGGGGACGTCCTGGGCGCACGAGGAGTTCTTCCTGGGCCCCGGCCCCATCACCCTGTTCTGTGGGTGATGAGGCCGGAGCCCAGGAGGCGAGAGAGAGGTTGGCTCGACCCAACTAGGGTGTCACCTTGTCCTCACGTCGATCAGGAGGCATCTTCTGACTTGTAGAATTTTACTTATTTTTGTTAAAGCTGAGAGTTTCAGGAACAGTCAGGTGCACGGAGCAGAGGGAAGAGCAGGGTGAGCCTCCAGCAGCGCGGCCCAGGTCCTCACGGCTCCCACCTCACTCCTTCCCTGTGACTTTCGGGCGGGGTGGGGGCAGGGGGGCGTTCCGAGCAGGTCCAGGGTACCCTGTCTTTCTACTTGTGAATTCTGCAGTGCGTGTTGCCAACACACAAAAAAGTTTTCTTTAAATGTAACTAAAACATCATTAAGCATTCAGGAAAACTACCGTGAATTTTGTGACTCTCAGTCCCAGTTGTTTTCCCTGCTGTGTGGAAGAATGCCCTTTGTGTGCTGGGCCTGACCCGGGCCTGGCGTCTGCTCGTGAGGGTACCCTGGCCATGGGCCTTGTGCTCATGGCCTCATCTGGCCCCGGAGAGGGGGGCATGGGAGGTGGCTGACAGCGTCCCACTCTCTTCCCAGCTCCTCTACGGGGAGTCCCTGCTACTCTGCGTGCAGGCCGTGGTGGCCGTCAGCAGGGAGGACTGCCGGGGGTCCAGCCTGCAGCTCATGGAGGTGTTGGTGACTGTCCTGGCGCTGTGGGGGGCCACGGGCCTCGGCGACAAGGTGAGGTGGGGGCACTTCCTGCTTTGCTGGGGGCACTTGGAAAGGTAGCCATCGTCCGTGATGAGTCTCTGCACTTGAATTCCAAGACTCAGGCCTACCCAACACCAAAGATGAAAGAATTCAGAATGTTCAGGACAAGTCCTCCACGACGTGGCCTTAGGGGGTACGTGGGGTTTTAGAGTCCCTCCAACTGCCAGTTACTTAGTGTCTCAGAGCGAAGACGCCACTGGGACGTAGAGTCCGCCGCCGAGATGAGCCGTCCTCACCTGACACTTGTGCATCTGAGGAGGCGAAAAACACACACCTGCAGTGGAGTCAGGCGAGGGTGACATCGTGACTCCCCTGTGTGGCTGCCTTCCAGCTTGACGGGATTGTTGCCGTTCGCTGGCTGTGTTCAGGCTTAAAGCCTGACGTCTGACTCCCCGCGGCTGCGGGACTGTCCGGAGACCCGGTGTCCGGACGCTTCTCCCCAAGCCGAGAACTCGGTTCTCCCCGTGCTCCACCCCATAGACTCACCGGGTCCACCGGAGCCCTGTTGCTCCCTGTCAAGGAGGCTGCCCGCCTCCATCCCTGCCTTCATTGGGGCCTCCCTTAACGTTGTTTCATTTCTCGCTTTCAAAACCCTCTTCCCAGAGGGCACGTGTCTCAGCAGGCAGCTGTCACCATAGGGCCTGAAATACTAGAAAAACAGAATCTGTCGTTACAGAGGGAACTGCAGAGCAGCCTAGGCACGTCCTGTTCTAAACCCGAGGAGGAAGGCTGGAAGGTGGCGCTGGCGCACCGTCTGGTCTCCCCTCCCTGCTCCCTGTGCTCCCCCAGCAGACCTGCTGTCACTGGTGGGCTGGGCGGGGTGGAGACCTCGGCAGCGTAAGGCACAGGCTCCTCTTTGATGAACATGGGTTAAGACTGTTCACTTCCTGAAACCACCTGGTCCCCTTCCTCGCAGACTGAGCCCTGGCAGGCATGCAGCCCTCTGCCCTGCAGGAGCAGGCAGTGCCCCATCCCCCTGGGCTGCAGAAACCGGGCAGACCTGCTGTAGGTGCACGTTTGTCCACGTGGTGACTTGCTGCACAGACAGGATGGTGTGGACAGGGCAAGCCCCCATCCGCAACCCTCATCCCCGCTTGCACCCTCTGTGCGTCGTCTGCTGTGGGCCTGAGTGGCCCCGTCTCCCTCAGATGACGAGGACGGGTGTCCAGTGGGGTCTCACCCTCAAGATCTGGTCATCCCAGCCTGTGGCTTGCCTCCCCAGGTGCAGGAGACCCTGGCCACGCTGGCGGCGGTGGCGAGCATGGACAGCAGCCTGGACTTGTTCCGCGAGCACACGGGCCCTCTTCTGGAGTGGCTGGCCGGCTCGCACCAGGCCTGGACCATCCACTCTGCGGAACTTCTGCAGTTCGACGTGGTGGTCACCCACTCAGGTGAGCCCCTGAATCAGGTCCAAGTGCTGGTCGTGTGGTAGCTGTGGCCGGCCCATCACAGACAGAGGTTGGCACGAACCAGAAAGCCGCAGACCAGGGCCTGGTTTTTAAAGTAACTTGTGGTCACTTGTGCCTGGGGAGAACGGGTGTTTTGAGGAGCGCAACCTTAATTTTAAAAATGCCAGAAACGTATACTGGAGACTGTGTGACGTAGGTCTGTAAAGTCTGGCCGGGCACACGTTTTCCACGTTAAATCTTGAAGGTGAGAGGTGTCAGGGCCTCTTCTGTAGCCTGTTGCCTTCACGTTTTCCTCCGCGTTATGCTGGCACTGGGTGTGTGCCTGCCCGTCACGGGCTGCGCCCGGCCTCCCCACGTCCGGTCTCTCCTGAGTGGACGATGCTGGGCCCCGTCCCAGAGGTGCAGCCCACACTGCAAAACATCACTGAGGTTTTCACTAGAAAAACACAGTGATTTGCTACCTGAAACCACTTCCCAGGTGGCTGTAAACTTGTTGAGCAAGTTAGTTTTTTCTTCACTTGTATTTAATAAAAATCCTAATTCCTCGTTAGCTGCAGACTCTGTGCCCCCTCCCCCCTCTCTGGACGTGACTCCTGTCACACAGTCATTACTCAGGGTTGTGGGGGTCCCCAGGACCATTTTGGGGTTCATCTCAGTGGCCCTGGTGCTATGAGACCTGGAGGGGTGGATCCACACTTGTTCTCTGTCATGTGTCAGCAAATCTGTGTGTCCAAATTTGGAAAGAAAACTACAGACGGTTGCCAGCAGCAAACGTCTGGAGCTGCTCTGCAGAGTCAGCTCAGGGTCCTCGCGGCTCCTCTGTGAGGCAGGAACCCTGAGCCCTGCTTCACGGACGCGCCCAAGGCCCCCCGCTCGCAGGCCACACCACCTGGCAGTGGCAAGACTGCAGGTGGACAGCCAGCCCTCTGGCCACACGTCTTTGTCCTGCTTTGATGCCAGAGATTGAGACGATGCATCTGGAAGGACGTAGGTCTCTAACTTCTCCCAGGACGAGCAGACTGCCGTCCCCTGGAGGGTGTCAGCGGGACCATGGTCGGTTCTGGAGCACAACATCCGGCGTTGGCACAGGGCCCGACGGGGAGGGCGTCGCGTGACTCAGGTCCAGGCCCCGGAGCCTGGGGTCCGGTCACGACTGGCGAGTCTCCAGACCCCAAGGTGCGTCGCCGTATCTGGGTCCCCCTAGGCTCTGGGAGCCGCCACTTCCTCCAGGGACCAGCTGGGATGAGGACGGTGGCTGCTGACTTCAGGGGCAAATACCGAGCAGCTCACATGTGCTGAAAGATTGCTTGACGTTAGTTTTGTTAAGAATTCAGGAAAATGTAAGAAAAAGGAAGTTTACGTACTGAACAGTTAGAGCGATCTGGGGGGCTAAAGCATTCTTGTCACTTTTCTTTGACAGTCACGTCCCCATCCAGAGAGGCGGCAGCCACCATCCTGTGCGGAGAGCGTCCTTCCGGGGGCCGCGGGCGCACGTGTCGCTGCGCCCAGTGCACCCTCCTCCCACCCTCCCGCCAGGCAGGAACCGAGCTGCTGTGTGTTTTGCAGGCCCTGCTCTTGGGGAGGCGCTGCCCCAGCTGGTCCCTGTCCTCCAGAGCTGCCTCCAGCCAACCAGAGACCCCTCCATGCGCCTGAGACTCTTCTCCACTCTGACAGGGGTGTTGCTGCGAGCCCGGGAGACGGTCGACTCACAAGGGTAGGTCAGCTCTGCCCCCACAGCCCCGCACCGTCCCCCGCGCCGCGCCAGGCCAAGGTGGCCCCTGAGCGCTAGGTGCCTGCTGTCCTGCAGTCACGGTCAGTCACGGCGGCGGGGGCACCACACGGAGAGACACGAATCAAAGTCATCCTCTGTGGTCGTTAAAATCCCACTGAGTGAAGATGTTAACTGTTAAATGGTTTATGTATTAGCTGCTTTCAAGCCCAACAAAGGGTTGATTGAATTGATTGAAGGACCATTGAGGTTAGAACTTAGGAAACCTGTTCTGCAGGGGAGCTTCTGCGGCAGGAGAGGGGAGGCACAGCTCCGTCCAGCAGGCCCTGCCCTGCTTGTTAAATCAGCCCAGTGTCCCCGCAGAAGGGGACGTGGCCAGCGCGATGCTGTGAGCTGTCTGGGGCCCATCCCAAGAGGGGCAGATCTACCACAAGTCCCGCCTCGTTGTCACGTATCCTGGAGTTTCCCAGGAAGTCTGAATGAAGAGAAGTCATCATTCAGACTTCTCTTCCCTGGATGTTCCTTGGGTCTCTGCCCTTGGGCGTCTAGCTGGCCCATCCTGCTGCGGGAAGTTTTATTTCCCGCCTTGAGCAGAAGCTTCCAGGGTTGGAAGGGACCTAGAGGTGCGGCGGCGAGCCTGCAGCCACCCCGCAAGCAGGCAGACTCCAAGCAGAGAGCCCGGGCCGGGCGGTTACCCTCAGAGCCCCAGCCTGGCTGTGTCTACCTGAGGACAGCTGACCCCTGGGCAGCAGCCTCCATGCCGGGACCAAGTCCCCGAAAGAAACTGCTCTTGAAGGCTTTTCATGGAAAGAAATCAGTATCAGGAGAGAAAAGTTCAGCTTATGATTATTTAGTGAAAACATTAGCTGTTTTACAGACAGGAAAGATTTTGAAAAATAACTCAGTTTCGATCTTCAGGAAACACCGCCTTGACTGTGGGGACGGGCGTGGCACTGAGGTCCCCACGCAGCCTGAGGGTCCTGCCTGAGGGCAGACACCGGGCCTGACCAGGGTCACCAGGCTCCCACCCCAGACGTCTGGATGGAGGGCGGGGGGTGGGCCGTGCTGTGAGGGTGGGCCGGTGCTGGAGGTCACCCCCGGGTGGAGTGCACATCCCTGGAGAAGCAGGGCTGCTCCCTCAGCAGGGTGCCCAGACGTGTGCACCCAGGGCAGCCCCCGACCGCCGACGGCTTCTCCCCCAGAGGCTGCACTGCGGGGTGCTCGCCAGCCCCTCCCGGTCTGTTTCCCACAGTTGCCTGAGAACCAGGGGTGTCAGCCCCTCTGAGTGAGGGGTCCTGTTGGAAAATTGCGGGATTTTAACACGCTGGTGTCACCACTGAGCGCAGCCCGGATGCAGGTGGTTTTGGAGGAGCCTGTGGCCCTGACGTGCCCACGCATCCCGAGGCCCAGCCGTGGACAGGGTGCCTCCTTCCAGTGCAGTGGGATTCGCTCTCTGGACGCCCAGGGCCTTCACTGGTCCTGGCATCTCAGTGCTGCAGGGACAGGTTCCAACTGGAGTTAGCAGCCCCCACCTGTCCCTCCCATGGCCAGCGCTGGGCCTTCTGGCCTCGTGGCCACGTCTTGAGGACTGCCTCCGCTGGGCCGTGGGCTGAGCCGCCCAGAGGGCCCCCTCGTGAATCAGTGCAGGAAGCAGCAGCTCTGCCCACTGAGAACCTGAGTGTGTGAGTCGTGAGAGCCGGAGGCTTTGCCGACGCTGGGAGCAAGCCGGAGGCGGCGGGGAGGGCCAGAAAGTGAGGGCCTCCTCGGGGGTAATCCTGGCCTCCAGCGCGGCTCTGCAGGCTGGGCCACGAGGCCAGTGGGCAGCTCAGGGCTGGGATTCCCATTTTTTTCTGCTCCGCGTTTGTCCTGACGGCACCTTGAATGGGCTGGTCACAGTCAAGACGAAGGCCCCCAGTGTCGTTGGCGAAGCGTCTGCGTCTTCTGCTCCCTTGCATCTGGGACCGTGGTCACGGCCCCACCATGCCTTCTGCTGAAGTGGCAGGACGTGGTCTGAGGGACCACACAGCCTGTCTCTGCCAGATGACTGCCCGTGGGGTGACTTGCCGGCCCTTTTCTTGGATCCAGGGAGGGTGACGGGTGAAGCCCCTTGGCCACAAAGTGGGGAGGGGGCTGGAATACGCCCCTGGGCCCTGGGGTTCTGGCCCCCTGCTCCCAGGAGAGGGGCCCCGCCAGCTGCCCCCCTCCTGCTCAGGGTCCCACGTGTCACTTCTGCAGTCTTCACCGCTGGGCCTCTTTGCTCTGTTGGGACCATTTCCCAAACTGCAGGGCTTCCCTGGAGGGTCTACATGCGCCCTCACCTGCGCTCTCCTGCCTTCGCTCCAGACAGTTCCACGCCTACCTTGACACCATGATCAAGGACATCTTCGTCCCCAACCTCCAGTGGCACGCGGGCAGGACGGCGGGAGCCATCCGCACGGCGGCCGTGTCCTGCCTCTGGGCACTTATCAGCAGCGGGATCCTGTCCAACAAGCAGGTGGGTGTTCACCCGGGTCCTGTGTCAGGGACACAGATGCTCCCAGACAGACGGGGGGACTGGAGCATCCCTGCCACCAGAGCGGGAAAGCCTTTGTCTCCGTGACGGGTCCTGCAGACTTTCTCGGGTGACTGTCTCTCTTTACAAGCAAAGAACTTTGTCACGGGTTTATTAACTTGAGGCCGACAGCGGGCTTTTGGTGTTGTCTGTCTCCGTGTCTCCAGTTAGACGAGGGCTGAGGCCACGGCGGAGCAGTCACAGCTTTGGTTTTCCTCTGCGCCCATTCCTCACGTGGTTAAACACCCCCAGCATCCACCTCCTGGACCCAAACGACTCTTACTAAGTGAAAACGTCCCCCAGGCTCACTGGACACCACACCCTGTCCTCCTAGCATGGAGCAAGCTGGGCAGGGTCAGTGCCTCGCTGCGACCTGGCAAGTAGCGGATCTGGAAGGCATCCACTGACCACTGTGCTAGTTGTCTGGATTTTAAAATCAGCGTTCAAGTCTGCTCCTTAAGGAGAAGGTTCCCAGCAGCACTCCAGACTCCCCGTATTTGCACCAAAACCAAGTCTCTTCCATCACGGGCAGAGCACACACAGTGGCCGAGCGGCCGTTGTACCCCCAGGATGGCAGCAGCCGTGACCCGCAGCACGTGTGCTTTCTGATTGCAGGTGCAGGAAGTGCGGGGAACGCTGACGCCTCAGATTCTAACCGCCCTGGAAGAAGACTCGCAGATGACTCGGTTAACTTCATGCAGAATCATCAGCGCATTTTTAAAAACCTCTGATGATGTGATCGATCCAGACAAATTCATGAAGATTTATCCTGGTACGACCTTTCTCGTTTCCATATCACCTGCTTCTGTTTGTGTCACGGGAGAAATAGAAAATGCTACTGGCCGGGTTGGTACCGAGTCCAGACCTGGCAATGGCAGGTTGGCATCCCTGAATGAGTCATGTCGCATGAGAAACAGCCGGGCATCTCGTGGAGCAGAATTGGGGCCAGGGCGTCAGGCGCCCACAGCCGCCGGGGCACAGGCCTGGAGCTGGCAGGGACCCCGCCCTGGGGCAGCAGCTGGGGTCCAGGCCATCGGGGCGAGAAGAGGCCTGGGCTCCAGCTGGGCCTCCCGTCACTGGAGGTGCGCCTGCAACACACGTGCCCGGGAACATAGGGAAACCCAGCCAGCGCACCCCTGGTGCAATACGGGTAATTCCAGGACCCCTAGTGTGTTTGGGGTCCTCAGAAAGCTGAAAGAGTAACATCCCTAAAAGCAGGTTGAGAATCAAAGGTGCAGGCGGGAAGGCGGAACAGGCCCAGTGAGACCCTGGGGGAGAAGGGCCACCAGGCAGGCTCCAGGCAGGTGGAGCGCGGCTGCGGTGGCTTCCCCTTGGGACGGGCGGTAGCCACACGGGTCTCACCCTCACCTGCATATTTTACTGCCGTTAGCTCTCACTGGTTTCTGAAAGGTGGCTTTAAGAGCTCCAGGAAGTGAAAATAGCCCCTGAAGTGGGAGCCCGGGCGCAGCGGGGGCGCCGGACATGTAGGCCGACCCAGAGCCCCGAGCGCGGCCGGGAGCAGGAGGGGGACAGAGGGCGCCCGCGCTGCCGCCACGAGGTGCGGTACCGAGTGAGGGCGCCCCCGCAGCCCCCGGTCCGCCTCGTTCTCAGTGTCACGGCAGCAAGCGTGTTGGTTCCTGCTGGCGTCTCCACAGCCCCCTCCCCAGTGCCAGTTGCCGGCCGTCACAGTGACAAGACCGCCATCCCCAGCACGTGTCCTCTGTGTGAGGTGGCTTGTTTCCTGACGGAGGGGCTCCACAGGGCCGCTTTATTTTGGGCACCAGCCCTGACTTCTGCAGACGTGTCTGGAGAACTGCTGGGACACCGTGACGCCCCGGGAGACTCTGGTGACAGATGTCCAGACACTGGGCAGACCCCGAGGACGGCGTCCCCTCTGCCCCAATTAGAACTGAAGAGTCGGGCGTCCCCGTCGTGGGAAGTGTGGCGGGGCCTCCGCGGGCTCTCCCAGACAGACGCTTGGACCAGTTGAGCCCCAGCACAGGGAGATGTGTACCCTGCCCTGGCGTCCGTTCAGCGTCCAGGAGCCTGTGTCTAAGAAAACCGTGTATTTGCCTTAATGGGAAGACACTTTATTGCTAAAAGAAGCTAACGCCATCGGAGCCTCCAGCGAGGTGTAATCTTTGCTGGAGGAGGTCTGCCTGGGGCGGGGGGCTGGCTGGCGGTTTCTCAGCACAAGACGGCGTGAAGTGGGCTGCGTCGATGGACTCCTCCTCTCACAAGGGTTTCTCTGCAGCACACGGGCCGCGTGACAGCTGTGTGCCCACAGGGAGCTCCGTGCAGGGCTGGAGTCAGCTCTCAGCCTGCCACTGCCCTGTCAGCTACATCTGTGTGATTTTCTGAGTCCTCTGTTGTCCTTCTCGACTGCGTCTTCGCCAGGAGTGGACTCCGTCTCACTCCTTGCTTGTCCGTTAGGACACTTCTCATCCGTGACCTGCCGTCCTGAGGCTCCACGCCTGCCTCTGCTGCTCTCACTGTTCCACCACGTCTGCTGTCCCTTCCTCCGCTTCCTCCCTCAAGGTCAAAGGGCTGGAATCACCTTCTTCCAAACCCCCGATAGTGGTGACAGTCCGACCTCTTCCCATGAATCATGCACGTCCTTAATAGCGTCCAGAATGGTGAGTGCTTCCTAGAAGTTTGCAGCTGACTCTGCCCGCACCCATCAGAGGAATCGCGCCTCTGGTGCTGGAGCTTCATGAGGTGCAGGAGGAAGGCCTGAACGGCCCCTCGGCCCGCAGGCTGCAGAGAGACGCTGTGTCCGCAGGCGGGAGACGCCAGCCACGTCACCCGTCCCCACCGGAGCCCTGTCAGTGAGCAGGTCTCAACAGTGGGCTTAAAACATTCAGTAAACTGTGTTGTCAGTAGGTGTCTGTCACGCAGGCCCTGCTGTCCCATTCACAGAGCGCGGGCAGAGTGGAGCTAGCGTCACTCTGAAGGGCCCAGGGTGTTCGGATGATACAGCACCCCAGCTTCGATGGTGGCCGCCCGCTGCATGAGCCCCGAACAGGAGTCAGCCCGTACTTTGAAGCTGTGACACCGGGCGTTGCCGTCTGCTGACTGTGAACGTCCTGGGTGGCATCATCTTCCAGCAGAAGTCTGTTTCGTCTACCCTAAAACTCCAGTGCTCAGTGTGGCCGCCCCCGTGGATGATCTGAGCTGGACCACGTGGGGACCGTGCTGCCCCACCTGCACCGACGTCATGACCTCGGCTTCCCTCCTCCAGCCTCGTGAACCAGCCACCTCTGCCGGCTTCAGACTCTCCGTCCACGGCCTCCTCGCCTCTCAGCCCTGAGAACTGAGGGGAGCTGGGGCCAGGCTGTGGACAAGCGTCAGCCAAAGGGAAGGCTGTGGCCGGTTTCATCCTCCGTCCGGACTCCAGCTCTCTCCACCTCAGCAATAGGCGTTTCTCTTTCTTACCGTCCATGTGTTCATGGGGCAGTGCTGTAATTTCCTTCAAGAACTTCCCCTTGCAATCAGAAGAGGCCAGTTTTCAGCCCAGCTCAGCTCTCGACACGCCTTCGTCACCAGGCGTGATTATTTCTAGCTTTTGATCTAAAGCGTGAGACGTGCAGCGACGCCTTTCACTTGAGCCCTGAGAGGCCACGGTGGGAGCCGTACTTGGCCTGATCTCAGTGTCGTCGAGGAATGAGGGCCCACAGAGGGGGCGGGGCGGCCAGCCGGGCCTTCAGGACAGCGTTTACAGGTGCAGTGTGTCGTCTTATAGGGTGCAGGTCGTGGCACCCCGAAACAGCTCCTGTGGCGTCATCAAAGATCACAGTGAGTGTTTCTGCCCCTCAGAAAAGACAGTTCACAGCAGCAAGTGCAACAAAAATGGTGAAAACGCTTGAAAAACCGCACGAGTTACCAAGTGTGCAAACACGAGGTGACGGGCTGTTGGGAAGGCGGCACCATGGGCTCGCGGGACACGAGGTCAGCTCGGACCTTCCGCTCCTGGAGCAGCACCTGCGAAGCATGGATCATGGCCGCCACCCCGCTGCTCCCCACTCCCGCACACCGGGAGCCGCGGCCCTGGCCTGTCCGCCTGTCTGCCTGTCTGGGGCTACTTGCCTCCTTGCCCCCTGCCACCCAAGGCCCAGGCCTCAGGAGCATGTCTGCTGGGAGCCAGGGCCGGGGCGTCCCGTGCGACACAGCCCTCCCCGTGGGGACGTCCTTGCTGGGAGCAGAGCCGCCCTCCACAGTGATGGGCCAGCTCAGCCTGGATGGGCCTCCGAGGGATAACCGAGTCCTGGGTCAGCATGGCTCATCGGTTCTGTGGAAAGAGGATATGTTGATAAAAATCTTCCACATTCACAGTGAGCGTTTCTGCCCCTCAGAAAAGACCGTTCCTCTGTCTTGAGCAGCAGAACGTCTGGTCCCAGAGGCTCAGCAGAAACACAGCTGAGCTGGCCAGTGGCCGTCCTGTCACCAGACTCTCGGCCCTGTCCCCAGACCCTGTGGTGGGTGGGCTCTGAATCTGAGCATCTGGGAGCCGGGGTCCCCAGGGCCGCCTTGCAGGTCAGAAGTCGGGCACAGAGATGCTCGACCAGCCGAGCACGCCTCTGCTCGGAGTCCAGCGCAGCCAGGGCCCCAGGGCGGGCGGGGACGGGACACCTGCTCGAGAGCCTCCGCCTCACACTCTTGCCCTGCTCTTTCAGAACTCCTCAAGCGTCTGGATGACGTTTCCACCGAAGTGCGGCTGGCGGCCACCTCCACCTTGGTGACCTGGCTGGAGCGGGCCGGGAAGGAGGGCAGGAAGAGCTGCGACCAGGGCAGCATCCAGTACCTGTACAGGGAGCTCCTGGTGTACCTGGACGACCCCGAGAGCACCGTGCAGGACGCAGTCCTCGGTAAGACTCGCTGGTTCCCATCCCGGGTCGCGGCGGGCCCCGGCGGCTCCCTCGGGTCCGCGTGCTGGGCCCGTGTGCTCTCTGTGGGCTACTTACCGCAGCAGCAGCTAAACTTGGGGAAATGTTAGGGTACTTACTAATTTGTTTAAAGTATCAGTAAACCCATTACATTTTACCATAAATAATGTGTGTTCGAAAGATGTATTTTCCAAAACGACTGGAAGCGTGGCATTTTGCGTCTTCGCGGCCCTCGTGCGTGAGCTGATGGGGCAGCCGGGGTCGCGCCTCTGCCCGCGTCGCTCTGAGCTGTCGGGCATCTGGGCAAAGTAGGAAAAATAAACGGCCACACGGTGTGTCCTTGGAAAAGTGAGTATTTTAACGCGGTGGTCTCCCAGGGCGCACCCCGACTGGACCAGTGGGAGTCGCCTAAAGGTGACTTGGGCTGTAGACTGAAGCCAGCAGGTGGTCCACTGCTTCCATGTGAGTCTCTCTGTCCCTCCCGCACAACTTCCTAATGCAGACAGGTTTGTTCTCAGGGTCAAAGAGTCTGTTAGCGTCCAGCTCGGGGGAGTCTGCTCTCCTCCCTCTCACCCCTAGGGTGGAGGTGGGATGGTTGGTTTTCTGGCATTCACACTCAGTGCTGCGGGTTTCCTGTACGCACTGCTTTTCACTGCATTCCACGCATTTTGAGAGGTCGTGTTTTCATTTTCGTGTAGTTCAAAATATTCTTTAGTTCCTCTTGAGATTTTTTCTTTGACCTTTGTGCTGCTTAGAACTGTGTTGTTAACCTCAGATACTGGGGATTCTCCAGTTGTCTCTGCTACTGATTTCCAGTTTAATTCCATCGTCATCTGTGTGATTTCTCCCTTTTTTAATTTGCAAAGTGTGTTTTATGGCCCTGATCCGGGTCTGCTGTGGTGACTGTCCTTGGGAGCGTGGGAGAGGGTGTGTTCTGCGCCTGGGTACCCAAGGGCTGACGGTGCCCCCTCCCCACCACGGGTCCTCCATCTCACAGCTGTCAGTCTTGCTGCGCTAGTCGGACACGCTGCTGCGGGCGCAAACACGTCAAGCACCGTGGTGTCGTCTGGGAGAACGGCCCCCCGTCGTGATGCGTGCCCCCAGATTCCGCGGCCCTGCAGTCTGCTCTGTTCTCAGCTGTTGTGACTTTGATGTGAAGGTAGGGTTGGCTTACTATTTCTTTCTGGCATGTGAAGCTGTCTTCCTGTTTTCCAGAGGCCCTCAAAGCAGGCAGTGCCCTGTTCCCCGACCTCCTGGTGCGAGAGACGGAGGCGGTGCTCCACAAGCATCGCTCCCCGACCTACTGTGAGCAGCTGCTGCAGCACCTGCAGACCCTGCCGCCCGCTCCGTGACCGAGCCCGGCATGGAGCCCTCATCCTGACCTGCACCGGGACGTGTGGCCTTCAAGTCTCATAACAACGGCCGGGGACACTCAGGCGCGACAGCAAGAGGGATTCCCTGCACAGCGCGCCTGGTGTCTCCTGGGACAGTGCTTCAAACCCAGCAGTTTCTGAAATAATTTTCACTGAGTGGCTTTGTATTTTTACGTCTAATTCATACAATTCATTGAGAGGTCTGCCGGAATTCGACAGCTGACTTCAGACTGTCATCTACTCACACGGGCAGCCCGGGCTGCGTGCTCCGCTGGGTTCAGGGACCGTTGCTGCTTTCTTGCTTAAATGCCCACCAAGAAAGTTCTTGACTACTTAAAAAGGAAAGAGCCAAAGTGATTAAAAAGAAATGTTCTTTCTTTGGGTTCTGTCTACTAAAACTTAGTATCTCAGTGAACAGACTGAAAAGAGCTTCAGATCTTAAGAACTACTATCGATGAAGCCTTTCCCGTTTAAGATACACTGGAACTTGCGATGCTCCGTGGATGTACTTGGTCACTGTTTTTTCTTAGGTCAGTGATGCTGACTCTGGGAGTAGGGCATTTAATCAAACATAGTTTTGGTTGCTCTCTTGTAAGAAGCAGTAAAGTTGCATTTTATTCTCTTGAACTTTCTACACCCAAGTGCCTGAAAGGTTTCATTTTAAGTGAGTATTATTTCCATAGCCATATATTTGTGTTAACACAAGGAAGAAAATGCTATGTGTATTTTCCAAAAATCAAATATTAACATTTATGCTTTGGTATTTGAGAATGTAATTAAAATATTTATTGTAATTATTTTGTTTGCCTGTCATGGTGTGTTCTGGTAATTCACGGAGACTTCAGGAATGACTCATTTTCACTTGGATTTATCGTCCCAGTGGTCCCAGCCTGGAGAATTCGGGCCTCAGGACCCAGGGGCTCCCTCAGCTCGTTGCAGTGCCCGCACTGGACGCCAGGTGGCGGGAGCTCCACGGGTCAGGGCAGCACGTGGCTGGGCTCCCAAGGGCTCATGGTGGGAGAGGGCAGGGGACCAGCCTGGAGACGGGCTGGGAACTGAATCCGCACCCCAGGCCAGGTCACTGCAGCCCAGGCCCCGCCACCAAGTGTCACAGGAACCGAAAGTAGGTGGCAGAGAGCTCGGCTGGGAGCACAACTCGTGTTCAACACCTCCTACCCTGCTCCTCTCTCCCCCTTGCCTGTTGTGCGAGGCGGGTGGGTCGGTGCCGCCCCAGCTCCGTCCAGCCCAGCAGCCCCGCAGCTGCCCTGCTGTGGGCACATCGACGGTGGCCTTGAGTTTCTGTCCATCTTTAAGGGAAACGCTCGGAGGCAGCACCGCGGTGAGTCGGCGCCCCCGGCACAAGGTTAACAGGTGTGTGTGTTCAGAGAAAGACGAGAACTCCACCCCTGCAGGGCCAGCAGCCTGGACGCCTGAGGAGCAGGAGGCCCCTCTCCACTTGTCTCTGCGATGCTTGTGAGCTCGGCAGTTAGTCTGGTCAGCAGACATTTCTGGAGTTTAAACACCACGTCCCAGGTGGCGGGGAAGAGGGGTGTGTAAAATGCAGTCCCTGAAGTTGACAGCATCATCGAGGTATAATTTACACACTGTAAAATTCACCCACGCTTTGCAGTCGGGTGAGTTTTGATGACTTTAGGGAGCATTTCCATCGCCCGAAACCAGGCGCCCACTGACCTGCTCTGCCTCTGGTTTTGTGTGTTCTACACACTTCACATAAATGGCACCAGATATGTGGTCTTACATGTCCAGCTTTTCTCAGCGTAAAGGTTTTGAGGTTGATTCTTTATTCATTAGTTCAGGGGTCAGCAATCTCTAGGGCCAGATAGTAACTATTTAAGTTTCGTGAACCACGGTCCCTGCCACAAATACTCTTCTGTTACCCTTCACCTGCTGATGGGCATCTGGGTTGTGTGGTTTGAGACTATAATGAATAAAACTGCTCTGAGCTTCGTGACACGTACGGTCAGGTTTGCAGTGCTCTGCGGTGGAAGGCTCGGGGCAAAACCACCAGGTCCCATCCGATACGTGTTTGTAGTCCCTGCTTCATTCATTCATTGTTATTTTTAACTGCTTTATTGAGGTACGCGTTAAAACCTATGATTAACTGCTGATACTAAAAAGTGGGCAATTTGGTAAGTTTCAACACACGTATACATCTGTGAAACTGCCACAGTCAAGTCAGAGAAGCCCCCATCACACCCCAAGGTTCTCTCCTGCCCCTTTGCAGTGCTCCCCATGCCGCGCCCCTTCCACCACCACATGCTCAGGCAACACTGACCTGCTTTTAGTCACTACACAATAGCTTGCACTTTTTGAATTACATATATATGAATTTATGCAATAAATTCTCCTTTCACTCAGCAAAATTGAGATTCATCCACGTGGCCATGCCCATCAGTAGTTCATCCCTCTCTCGGTGGGTCCTATGCCACTGTATGGACATAACCACGATTTGGATGTTCCTGGGTTCTGGCTGTTACAAAGCTTCCTAGAACATTCACGCACAAGTCTTTATATGGACGTATGTTTTCATCCCTCTTGGGTACGTATCTGGGAGTGGAGTAGCCATTACAGTAGAAGTATGTTTTTTAAAAACTGCCAAAATGGTGGTACCATTTTATGTTCCAATTCCTCCCATTTTTGCCAACATTTGATACACCAGTCTTTCTAGTTTTGGCCATTCTACTGGGCACATGGTGGTATCTATCTCAGTATGGCTTCAATTTGTATTTTCCTAATGTCTAATGATATTGAGCATCTTTCCATGTGCTTATTTGCCATCTGTATACCTTCATTTGGTGAAATATCTTTAAACTCTCTTAACCACCTTTTTAATGGGGCTGTTTTCTAACTGAATATTAAGAAACCTTCATATATTCTGGGTACAAGTCCTTTATCATATATATAATTTGCAAATCTTTTCTCATCCTGGTGCTTATCTGTTCATTCTTTTAACAATGTCTTTTGAATAAGTTTTTCAGCTTTGAAAAAGTCTTTCAATTTGTTCTTTTATGGATTGTGATTTCAGTGCGGTATCTAAGAAATTTTTGCACAACCCAAGGTTTCATTTCCTGAATTTAAGAAGCTCAAAGTTATTTTCATAAAGACAATTTCTCTATTTGCCCCTACCCATGCTGTGGTTCAAAAGCAAGTTTTACTTCCTTTTAAAATCTCCTTTCCGTACCGTAAGTGAAAATACAAGGTCCTAGGGTAGTTGGCTGGTGGAAGATGAAACACCCCCTTTCAACAGCCCAGGACGGCCCTAAACGTGCTGGTAAGGAATGGTCTCTAAATTAAGGCAACAACGGTGAGACAACAAGGAGCACTGCACTGTGTGCAGAACGCACCATGTATCAAAGGAGGAGAGAGGGAGCGGCCCACTTGCTTTTATATGCATGAGATATTTCTAGGTTACAAAAGCAACTGGACAGAGTGGTGGCCTCTGGAGGGGGGACCTGTGTGACTGAGGGGCCAGAGTGGGAAGTCAGGCTGTGTCTTTTGGTACCTCTGTGCACATACCACCTGGTCAGTAACACAACTCAGCTGAGACTAATTCTCAGGTCAGGGGCCCGACTGACACAGGGTGATGGTCTTGGCGCCTAAGTGAGCACACCTGTTTCTTCTATACAACCGGAGCCCCATTCCAGGGAGGGATGCTCAGGGTGTCAGAGCAGAAGTTTTACCGACAGGTCGTCTTGTTGAGAAATGACAATGCAGAGACTCGTATCCAAGTGTTCACAGCAGCTTTATTCAGTGCTAAACTGGACATAACCCACATGTCCATCAGCAATTATGAATGGACAAACCTGCAGTACACACACGACGGCACCGCACTGCAGCGGGAGCGGCTCTGACACCAGGCTGAATGAAGGAGGCCAGACGTCAGAGGGCGTACCATACGAGTCCTTCTACGTGCACTTCTAGAACAGGCAAAGCTGTTCCACGGTTCTTTTTGCATCACTGAATCAGTCACAGATATTTAGGGACCTGCTGTGAATTTTGTGTGAACTTTTCCATAATTCAAAGTATCAAAACATCAAAAACAATCACTGATGGAGTTTGGAAGGCAAAAGCTAAGACTCCTCCAGGCAAGAGTAGGGAGAGTGGTGTCGCCTCACTGAAGGCTGGCCTCTCGACTATCAGTCGCCTTACGACTAAACTGGAAGATTAAATTTTCTCCAAAGACAAATTTTTCTTCCTGATATGCCCCCACATTCCAGGATTCTCTAAACAGCCAGCGACAGACCCCCAGGCATTGCTTATGTGATGTCAGACAAGAGAAGAAATGACTGGATGCGACTCAGGGTGGTGGGGGGTGGAGGGGCTATGGGTTTGTTTTCTATTTTCCAGACTTGAGTCATTCCTGATTTTAGACGCATTTTTAGAGGTCACAGGCAGTGCTGTACAGGCAACAATTAATCAGTATCTCAGAAGGCAGGCTGTGGCCTCCACTCACAAGTTACCCACTCAGCCGCTCTCCTTTGACCTAAGCACGTCCTTGACCTTGACCGCCCCCCCGGGGGGTGAAAGCCTCTTTCCTGTAAGCAAGTGGTGGCTTCAGGAGCTGGCTGGGACACTGAGGCCTGGAACCCGTCCCAAAGGCAAGACACCTTCTCGTCTGTCCTCAGGCGTCTGCGCAGGGTTTTCTTAGCCTTGGAAAGCGCAATTCGAAGAGGCAAAGTAGCGCCCGTTGTGGGCTGGCAACAGACGGTAACCGAAGACGAAGATCCTACGCAGGAGCCAAGGCGCTCTCCTCCTGGCCCAGCTGCTGGCTCTTTTACCCTCCAGGACTCCACGTTACTCCCTTCCTACGTCCACTGCTCAGGAGTGAGTGGTGGTTTGGGCAGAGGCTGA